TGAATCCGTGGATTTAACCAACCTGGACCGGGTAGTACTGTAGTATTTATTATTGAAAAAAATCAGCGTATAAGTGGACCCGTGCAGTTCAAACCCATGTTGTTCAAGGCTTAAGTATATTTAGAACTAAAGCCTTAATTTTCAAGCAGAATCCAGTAAATAGCCTAGAAGGAGAACCATCATTTTCCTTCTCATTGCAGTTGCTTTGTACATGGCCCAAACAGTAAGCTGAAATCCTTCTTTTCTAGAATAGTGACTGACTAACAAGTTGAAGTACATGAGAGTCTGGTTGATATAAAAAAAAGAAAACCTTTATTCAGAGCGGCAGTTTTTAGTGTGGTCTGTGGACCCTGGAGGGCCTTAAGGTTTGTCTGGTCCGAGACACTTTTTTTTTTTCTTGGCTGCACTGCATGGCATGTGGGATCTTTGTTCCCCAACCAAGGATCAAACCCGCATCCCCTGCATCGGAAGCGTGGTATCTCAACCACTGGATCACCAGGGAAGTCCTGATGCCAGATTTTATATTGTGCTATTTCACCTTCTGAAGGGCACAGGGCTTAGTAACAGGTGAGCTGAGATCTTTACGCCTGGCTAGATAGAAGCAATATTTGAAAATACACTCAAAATTCAAGTATGGTGCCAAACAATGGGTAAATCTGAAATAATATTATTCTTAGAGACAATAACAACCACCACAAAACATGCTGTACTATTTTAAAAAGCTTTTTTTTGGACCACATTATTAAAAACACAGATTGCTATGTGATAATAAAGCCTCATTCTTTGGATTCCGGAACTCCAAGTTTAAAGAGTCTCCCCTTTTCCTAATTTGGCCTCTAAGATAAAAGCTGGACAGAAAGTATAATTTATTGTGTATACTCTAGATGCCAAGATAATTGATTAAAATTTGTGTGGAAAGGGGAATTTTCTTTGAAATTATGATGATGAGTTTCTTTTCAGTAAGGAGTAGACATAATGTACTTTTACTTTCTGAAAAGAATGTAAACTAAGTGCGGCCATAGTCCATCCAGTTCCCAAGGCTAAGGTCAACTAGAGACAAGCAGGTCAGAAACAGAGCTCAATTGAGCTCAAGAATTCTCACTGCTTAGACACGCTGTTCACTTTGGCTAGACTTCGTCTTTCTCTCACCTCCCACTAATCCCTTCAGTCATCCATCTTTTCCTTTAGTTCCCTGCTTAAATGTCACTTTCACAGGGCCTTCCCTGATCACCCATTTTTACCACAAACACTTCACCCTGCTTGTTCGCTGTTTCAGCTCATTTCCTTCCCAATGCTTTTCAAGGTTTGTGATAATAATTTGATTAGTTCTCCTTTTCCTCTAAGATGGAAACTCTCTGATCCCTGCTCACTGCCCAGCATGGGTCCAATATTCAGTAAGTAGCTGGTGGATGATTAAATGTGGGGGACCGTCTAGGGTGGCAACCCACATAACTCAGTGGTGGGGTGAGGAGGGCCCGGAAATGGGGAACCACACCCATGGACCCTGGTCTCCTCTTTGCCACCACTTGTTTGAATGACCTGCCTCAAACCCCTTAAATTCTCTGTGACTCAGTTTCTTCATCTGACAATGAGGGAGGTTTACTGAGAGATTTCCAAGGAAGAATCCTGACTTTAGGGTGCAAGATTCTAAGTATATCTGAGTATATTTCTAGGGTGCTGATAACCATTCTTTTTCCCACTCATTGAGGAGGTGTGGACCTTTTCATTATTTCTGAATATAAATAGGTATTTTCTGAAAAACGTACAGTATTAAGTGAGTGTATTAACTTTTCTATAGACTTGACTAGCTAGAGGGAAAAGCACTAAGTTTCGGGAGGTGATCTGACGATATTTTGTCCTATTCTATGTAATTTTAACTGCTGTGCAACTAGTCCCATTTATTCCCAAGAGAAAAACTGGAAATCTGGTTCTCACACTAATAAGCTCTGTGACCTTGGACAACTTGCTTAACCTTCTGAGGCTCACTTTTCTTGTCTGTGTAATGGAACTGTAATAGGGATGGACTGCCAACCTAATGAGATTGTGTAAGGATTAAAGGAGATAACTTGGAACATATTAGGTGCTCAGAAAATGCTGGTTAACCTGAAATGAATTTTATCCCACAATTTGTTTCCCAGTGAGTTTCTTTGTGCTAGGGCATAAAACAAACGAGATTGTTTTTGTTGTTAGCTGTATGGAATGCAGGGTATGGTTATTAAGGTATACTTGAATATGTGGTTACTGATGTATTTAGTTTAGGGAGGAGCAGGTCATTGTTCAAACAGAAAAGGTGTTAGATTTTAACAGACATAGGCATCCTTTTACCTGTGGGATTATAATGCATTTTATTATCATAGAGCTAAACTCAGGAGTTTGATATTCCTTAGAGTCCTGCTTTGTCTATGCTGAAAAGATACAAAGCCAAAGTAATATAAAACTGTATAAATGAAAGAAATGATCCGGAAGCCTCGGGGGTGTAATCTTGACTAAAAAAGGGCCAAGACTTCAAAACAGGTTGAGAAATGAGTAGTCTTTTTTCCTTACCACATTGTTATTATTAGCAATTATATTTGAAAATTTGAGGGCTGTTACTCACCAATCAGGAAAATAATTTTACACTTTCTCAAATCTTCCGTGAAACCTTTAAAATAAGAATAATTTAAGTTATACAGAAAGAAAAACTGTATTGAAACCCTGGTTTTATACTATATAGTATATAGTATTATACAGCATATAGTATAGTATAATATATACTATTACATTATGTATTATAGTATACAATATTCTATATAATATATAGAGAATAGATAGCATAGAGATAAAACAAAAGTCATGAAGGTGGTGAGTGAGAACTGAATCTGGGAACCACTGCTTTAAGGCAAAAGAATGATTAGGGATTTTTGGCAAAGTGCGAAACTCTGCAGAGTTTGCGGAGCCCTAAAAGATTTCCAGTTGTCACATGATGTAGTAGGTAGTCATGAAGTGGTTCATTTATATACACAACGTTACATTTTTGCAGGAATCCACTATTAGTTGAGTGAAAGGCCCAACTCTACCAGAGAGAGATAGAGACAGAGAGCGACAGAGAGAGAGAGAGAAGAGAGAGAGAGAGAGAGAGAGAGAGAGGGAGGGAGGGAGGGAATAGGGCATGAAGAATTGAGTTGGGGTAGAAGAAGAAAGAGACAAGGGAAAAAGAGCTGGAAACAGAGGAAAGAGGTGAATTTGGGGGTCTTTGGAACCATTTGGTTTTCACATGAAAGGATTTTTTGTTATTGTTCCCTGAAATCAAACAGATGCTTCAGTCTCTTTACAGAGTAGCCCATGGTGACTGGAAAAATCGAGTATTATCTGGAACTTTCTGTTAAAGGCAGATAGATTGATGCTTTTAACACGTGGAGCCAAAGGGCCATCTCATGTTCTCCATATTTCTGGTTTGCTTTTTTCTTCTAGCTTACTTTTATGAAGCTGAGCAACATTTAATGTATTTGCAATCTAGGAAAGTGGTTATTATTGTTAGTATTAGTAGTAGTATGGTTATCTTATTCCAGTTTAAAAAAAATAGTTCTTTTTTTAAAATTACTAGTTATTTTTAAAAATTAATGATGGTACATTCATAAAAAGATAGTACATTCATACAATGAATGTACAAATTAAGTTTATAGAGAGTTTTTAATGACATGGGAACATGCTTACATTATGATAGGTACAAAATATTGGAGATAATGTTTGTATATACACGTGTATTCTCAACTAGGTGAATATAGGTATATAGACAATACACTGCAATAAAATAAACCAGAATGTTACCCATGATTATTCAGAGGTCATAAGGTCTTAGATGGCTCCTATTTTCTACCTTAAAAAAATTTCCACGTGAATGTGTGTTAATTTTATAACCAGGAAAAGAGGAAACTTTATTCATCAATCAATCAATCCCCATCCAGTTGGGGCTGAGTTGATTATTTGCACTTGGCTCATGTTTATGTGCCTTTTCCTCATGAATCACCATTATGTCATTTGGTGACTGCAATTTTTACATACTGCTCTTGCCATTATCATCAAATGACACTTTATCTACTACCCCATGCTCATGGAGCAGCAGGATTCGAGCTGGGTTTATTTAGAAAGCCAATTCACTTACTTGTATATGCTCCCAGTCAATGTAAATATATTTCCACGGACCATAATTATAACAACAGTTATCACAGAGTGGAAATGATAGCAGGTATTGTTTTCTAGGGCAATCATGAAACTTATCTTTTTCTGGACAAACTCAAATTCACATAATTTAATCTATTTTCAGTTCCATGTGTAGCTAATTATGGTTGGATTTTTTTTTTAGTTTTGGCAAGACTTTTAACATGACAAAATTATGAAGCACTATAGTTTAGGTGTTTCTTAAGTTGCATCCCAACGGTACACTGCAGAGTAGTAACCACGATGCAGGAAAAAGACTTTTGTGTTCCAATAAAATTTGAAGAATGGTGAATTAAAGATAGCCAGCTCTCTTTCCTACAGGACATGTGGGAGTCTTGCTGTGCTCTTATATATGTGAATCTTCCAAAGGGGATTGGGTATTATGTTTTCCAAACATTTTAACCAGAGCATCCTCTCTTCACTGAGCATCTTGGGGCTCATGTTCTCTGAGCAGTGAGGAAATGCATCTCTTGGTAAGGCGTCCCTTTGATTCTTTACGTGGACCAAAAGGGGAGAGATCCAAAGAGTCCCAATCTTAATCATGTTCCCTGGCTAAGGGAAAAGTACAAGCTGTTGGTAGATTATTATCTCTTAGTGGTGTTTAATAAAAAAGACATGCTCAGAGCTACTAAAATGACAACTTTGGTCTGATCAGTAAAGAAAGCTCACCTCCTATGGTGTCTTCTTCAAACACATTTAACTGGTCATCACCCTGTTTATAAAAAAATCAAAATATTAGATGATAATACTAACAGGCATTGTACTAAACTTCTAGCCAGCATTAACATACTTAACCTTCCAAAGGACTCTGTGAAGGAGGTACCATTATTACCCAGCTTTTACAGATGAAAACCATACTGAGCTTAAGAAGTTAGTTCCCCAAGGCCACATAGCAGTGAGGGACAAAGCCCAGATTTAAACCTGGGCTGTCTGTCCCCAGAGCTCATGCTCTTTGTAACAGGTGCAGTATCCTGCCCTTTTCCTTGGTGCATAACTCTCTGTGGTCAGAAAAGCTGATGTAAAGAAGACAAAACTGATAGAAGTACTTGAAGCTCACTGATAGGAGGAGTACAGCCATTTTACAAACAACTCCATGATTTATAGCTGGACTTGGCAAACTTTCTGGAAAGGGACAGATAGTAAACATTTTCAGCACTGTGAGCCATATGGTCTCACTACTTAACCAACAGCCTCAGTCTGCCAATCCCTGAACGAAAGCATGAAATAAGGGAAGTTGGAATGACCAGCTTTGATTGATGCCTGCCTTTTAAATTTCCATTTTATTTTTTAATCAAACAGCTCCTCCTTTTTCCTTACAGAAAAACCCATGATGGTTGGGAAAAAAATCCAGAAAGGAAATCTGTAAAAAGGCATTGGTGAGATTTCTCACTCCCACCTATGTCTCTATCCATCCCATTTTCTCACTCCCTCATCCCTTAGAGATAACCACTCATAAAAGTTTTTTGGGGGGGTATCTTTCCAGATACACAAAAACTGACTTCTAGATATCTATGGATACACTTGAGTATAACTACATGATCTTATTACCTCCATTACACAGAAAGAAGCAAACATATTATATATGCATATGTTTATAATATACATACTAATCTGATAATACTGTTCTTCCCTTTGCTTTTTCACTTATCAATATATCTAGGAGAACCTTCTGTATCCGTACAGATGTTCTTGGGTTATACAGTATTCCACTGTATGGAAGGTACCATAGTTGTTATTGTTTTTAACTAGTTCTTTATTGATGGACCATTGAGTTGTTCGCAATCTTGGACTATTTTCGAAAAAGTAGCACAATGAATAAACTCATATAAATGTCATTTCACACATATATACCTGTAGGATAAATTCCCAGAGAGCGTGCTGTGCAGGCAAAGAATAAATGTATTTATAATTTTGATAGATGTTTCCAAACTGCTCTCCCTAGAGGCTGTGTAGTTTTTCAGGGACAGCCTCTGGCTCATGCTTTACTCCAGCCTCTTGCCTCTAATTTGCTTTGATACAGGAGTCAGTTAAATGAGGTTGCCTGGTTGTATTAATGCTCCCTTTAGGTAAACTGCCACAAAAGCACTTTGTTTGAAAACAGAGCCTTGCCATTCTTTTTTATTTATTTTTTTTATTTTTTATTTTTTGGTACGTGGGCCTCTCACTGTTGAGGCCTCTCCCGTTGCAGAGCACAGGCTCCGGATGCGCAGGCTCAGCGGCCATGGCTCACGGGCCCAGCCGCTCCGTGCATGTGGGATCTTCCCGGACCGGGAATGTGGGATCTTCCCGGACACGAACCCGTGTCCCCTGCATCAGCAGGCGGACTCTCAACCACTGCACCACCAGGGAAGCCCACCATCCTTTTTTAGAACATTCGCCTTCAGGGCAAATTTATTGCTTGTCTTCCTAGATTTGCCTGTGTATCCAGAGCTATTCCAGGTGAGAGAAGAGTATTTAATGGACTAGTTATTCAGGGACACATTTACATTAATTAACTCCTTTCCATGAATAGAAGAAAACATCCACTATTCCTCAGTGAGCCTCCGCCCACTTCCCTTACTGAAATCATTGCATTTCACATTGTGCAGGGATCGTCTAATCCAACTCTACCACCCCTGCACTACCATTTTACAGGTGAGGAAATTGGTAGTTGCAGAGGCCATGTGAGGGGCCCATGGCCACATCATCATGTCCTTAGTGAGGCCAGGGTTGGGATGAGAACCGCATCTCCTAACACACAGTCTGGCTTCTAGAGATTTAGTCCCATCATCTTAGCTACCATAGTGGACCTGTTAGTGTCCTGCTGCTCAGCTGGCTGGTACATCCATCCCCCAGCTGCTGCTAAGAGCACACAGGAGTCTGGTCCCTCCCTCAAGCTGGGATGACTCTGGTATAAGTTGTTCCCCAGTGGTCCCCTTGAGATGAAGGTGAAGCTAATATCCAGCTGGTTTCTCCCCCTGCCCTATCCTGCATCTCTCCCTGTCTCACAAGAGCACACCTAATAACACACTTGCAAAGAATCCCCATCTTAGCCTCTGCTTCTAGGGAAGCCCACCTGAGACAGGGACCTATTTGAAGCAATTAATATGTTTGCCTAAGATGCAGCTACATAGAAAGAGGCTCAATAGCCTTTGCTGGAAAAGAATCGTTTAATCAGACTCTGCTTATTGCTTGTCAAACAGCTATTGAATATATTCAGGTAACGTTAAGAGGAAACCATGAGGTCTTTTCTCTCAATTTTTAATATTATTGTTGAGTTATCAGACTTACACCCACCTTATAGACCAAACTGTAACAGATCTTTCTCGTACCTGGCTATCATGTCTTGGGAGTTTGATCAGGATTAATCTGAATTCATAAAACAATGCACGAGGTTATAAAAGGGCCTTTCTGACCTTTATTTGGCTTCTTGAGTCTGACCTGCTTTTATCCACAGCTCTTATTCACAGTCTTCTGTTCTGTTTGCCCATGAATGCATTGATAGTGAACAAGTTTTTGGAGCATAGATGCAACCATCAAACACTCTCCATCAGGAAAGTGCTGCCCTGCACTCACTGACATGAAAACCCAGGTGAATGAGATGTTCGATTGCAGGGTGTCATTTTCCAGTGATGCCAAATAAACTTCACAACTGATCTTTTGTAGATAAAATTTATCTGACATCTAAACACACACACATACATGAAACAACCAGTGAGAGGCAAACACTCCTGGTTTTGGTGAAAAGATGTCATACAGCCTCCGGGGGCCCTAATTCTTTTTCTTTTCAAATGCTAGGTGTGTTCTGCATAAGAGGCATTGATTTCAGAATGTCAGTTACATAAGGTGCAAAATGTTAGATAAGCTTCTTGGAGAAATGGCTGATAAGGTGTTTATATCCAGTTCCACTGTAGCTGCACCTTCTGTGAGGCATTCTTGGAGAAAACACAACCCACTAACAACCGAGTTCCACCCTGGGTACCTGTGGGTGCCTCTGGGGGTTGCAGCCTTTTACCTTGCTGCTGCTCCATCCACTAAGCCCTTTGTTGCCTGTAAGTCTGAATGCGGGGTTAGACTTTGTGGGTACAGTGAGACATAGAAGGCTTTCTGCAAGTGTAAAACTAGGCTTTCGGGGCATGAAGCGGCATATACCAAATACGAAGAAACTTACAAAGAGAGGTAGTACAAAAACAGGCACAGATTTATGTAAGCGCCATTTGTGACTCACTAGTCTTGAACCCAGACACAGCCTGCAATGACGCTGTTAATACTGGTGAAGGTAGGAAAGCCTGCAACAAAACCACTAGCCCCCAAAAGCCAACTCAGGTTGCCACATTTTTTTTTTGTGCTCGGTATTGGATAATATGTTGGTAGTTGATGGTGAGAAATCTAGAATCCTGTTGAACACATTTAGAACCTCAGGGTAGGATTGGTGGCTTTATGCGGAAGCTGGATTTGGACTACAGATTGGTTTTGGTCTCTATCCCTCATTCCCAGTCAAGCCAGAGCCGTAGGAGAGTAAAAGCAACCTGCATTCAACTTTACTTCCCTGCGTGGATCTGTAGGCAAGCTACTACCTCTGCAAGGCTGGATTCTGGTATTCTTTGTAGGAAGAGCAGCTAATTGGTGTGCGTTTGTGTTTTCCTTTTGGGTCAGAGGTCCTATTATCTTCACCTTGAGATATGGATGTTTTGTCGTTCCCAGCGCCTTGAATTATTGAATTTTGGGTGGGCAAGATCAAAACAACATAGCTTCATAGATGGTTCACCATCTATGGTGAAGTTCTTCATCCTGCTTTGATGTCAGCACAGCATCTGCTCCTGGTTACGGGACCAGCGGCCCTGTCACAAGCAGATCATGTCATGATATGAAGCTGACACTTAAACAGTGCTTTACAGCTCTGGCAGCATTTCTACAGATATGATCTTACTGGATCCTTGCTGCAACCCTCATAGGAATGATGAAACTAAAGTTCTGTTGTACCACTGGATTGGGATGTATCTGAGCTTCCACTGCTGCGCAGAGCTGGGCTGAGGACTGACCTCGGTGCCCTGATACCAAGCTACATTTCCTCATCAGCATCCTCTTACTGTTATGTGTGTGTGTGTGGGGTGGGGGCAGTCATCAGATCCTCTACTGCCCCTCCTTGAGTAGATGGTGCTGATTTTTAAAATCCTTTTGGGGACCACAAACCAAACCCACCCTGGGAAAGAGCGGGAAGTAGTAGGTCATTTGGGGAGTGTTTTCCTAGTTCTCGTTTGTATTAAACAGTGTGTGTGTGGATGTCCCTGGTGGCGCAGTGGTTAAGAATCTGCCTGCCAATGCAGGGGACACGGGTTCAATCCCTGGTTTGGGAAGATCCCACATGCTGCGGAGCAACTAAGCCCCTGCGTCACAGCTACTGAGCCTGCACTCTAGAGCCCGCGAGCCACAACTACTGAAGCCCATGCACCTAGAGCCCATACTCCGCAACAAGAGAAGCCTCCGCAGTGAGAAGCCCACGCACCGCAACGAAGAGTAGCCCCCGCTCGCCACAACTAGAGAAAGCCCGTGCGCAGCAATGAAGACCCAACGCAGCCAAAAAATAAATTAAAAAAAAGAAACCAGTGTGTGTGTTTCATGGCATAAAAAATGTGTATAGCTTCGAGTGGGATTATGAGAAAGAGGCTTTATATAACAATAAAATGTCACAGCAAAGATTAATTTTTGGCCCTAAAATTCACAAATACTGCA